CCCCCCCCCCCCTCATCCCAAATTTGCGTAAGCGGCGCGCGCGCTCTTGGACTTGGACTTGAGGAGTGAGAGAGAGAGTCCAGAAGCACACACGGCCCCATCGGCTCCCGGGGGGCTGTGTGTGTGTGGGGGGGAAGGGCTTGGCAGGTTCTGGCTAACTGGCTTGCAAAAAAGGTGCAAGGTGCAAGCTTGGTCTGGATGCCCTTTGTGATCGGCAAAATTTGGAGGGCGATCATTTCGGGGGAGGGGGGGGGCTGGGTCCCTTTACTTACAGTTCTTAAAACCACTATGAATAGTTGGCGGGGGGTTTTTTTTAATTAAGTAATCTAGCGTTTTTTGTTGGATTTCCGGTGATGGGTGCATAATACGAAGGAGATGCACTATTCACATTCACATTCACCAATTTTTACACGAGTAAACGATTATATCCCTCATGCAGGCAGCGCAGTACCCCGGGTTCTCTGATAGAGACATGTGAGGGCGGCAACTAGGCTCAGCTTTCTTAGCGCGTGAATGGCTGGATATGTGTGATCGTGTTGGTGGACCGCATTCTCCCGTCCAAACAGCACAATGCACGGGGCAAATGGAGCTCTGAGACCTTGACAACCAAACATCAAGTGGGCAGAATGCCAAAAAAAGGTTTCTGATAAGATTCGAGCGTGTATTCTATACTACTACTAATGCCGAGTTTGGGAAACAAAAAAACCATTTTGTGTATCTACCGGCATAAAAGATCATCGCGTTCATAGACATTGGGAATAAGTGTCGGCGAACCGCACGTACATAGGCGTGCAAAACATGACCAAACATTAACACCATATCCCCAATGCACCCTTGAACTTGTGTAAACCCAACAAACGCCCGGAAGAAACACCCAAATCAGAAACCATGTCCAAACACCTTTTCGGGGTATGCAGTATTGCCCGCCATTCTTAGCAGACTGGTAGGCCGTGGGTATATATGCAAAGCTGTGCTGTAATGAAATCAAGCGCGTACTGAATGCAGTTTTCATAAGCGATAACACGATTCGCTCCTTCATCGGTGGTGCATCCCAGCACCCGCCTTAATCTCCCTCTTCATCTCCTCCAGCTTCTTGTGCATCTTGAGCAGATCGTTTCGCTGGGCCTCCGTAGGCGGCTTCTCAGCCTCTGTCAGTTCCCAGTACAGCTCTTCGTACTTCTTGTAGTACTTCTGGAACTTTTGGGAAAGCTCGACAGTCTGTCGGAAGCTCAGGCTTGGCATGGATGGAGATGTGGTAGACGAGGACGAGGCGCCCGGCGACGCACGAGGGTTGTTGTGGTGGTAGCGCGAGGCGAGGCCAGTGTCGATGTTGGCAACCTTGCGAACCTTTGGTGCGGTAGAAGGAGTGTTGGATGCAGATGAGTCGTCGGACTTGCGTTTAATTGAGCTAGTAGAGGAGGGCGTAGAGGCATTGGGCTTGCCATTGCCATGTGAGGGTGTTTGTTTCGGAGTTGCGCGGCTAACCTGCGGCTTCTTCGCCACGATGTTGTGGTTGTGAATGTTGCTGTCAATGTCGTTGGCCTTGCGTTTGAGTGAGCGGTCAGAGTTGGTGGAGGATTTGGCAGGCGATGCTGCAAGAGCCTCATGGGCAGGATGTGACTGGTCCAAATCGCTGGCGTTGATGGGCGGCGAAGCTGAGAGCGGCGAGGGGTTTTTCGGCTTGGTGTTTACTGGCATGGTGGGCTTGAATGGCCTCTGAACAGGGCGGTCCCTCTGTGCGTCTCGTACTGGCATCTTGGGCTTTGCACGAATCGTGGTATTGCCTTCTGCAGTGGATGGCTTCTTTGCACGGGGTTTGGAAGCGTCGGTTGAGGAATTGCTATTGACAGGAGGTGCAGCGGGGCGTGAAGTCGAGGTGACGGGTGTAGACGTGGCTGGGGTCGAAGCTTTTGTGGGTTCCTCTTTCACCTCCTTCACCTCTTTCACTTCCTTCACCGCTAGCTTCTGGCGCGCCAAGTACTTTTCCTTGATTGACGACTTGGGCTTGATCTCAATCTCCTTTGCAGCCTTTTGCTTGGTCTCACCATCCTTTGTGGCCCTCGGCTTCCGCTCAGGGGCAGTTTTGTCGACCGCCTTCTTAGCTGCAGGCTTCTTCTTGGTGAGATCCGAAATCTTGTGCATGGGGGTGCTTGCTTTCGGCTTCGCCTCGGGCGCTTTCACCGTCGAACGCGACAAACAGATGCCTTGGCCTCGTTGGTCCTGCGGCAACAGAATCTGCCAGAGCTTGTCATCTTTTGACAGTCGTTGGCGATCAAACGACTTGATGGCACTGTCAATGGCCTGCTGACGCTCCTCCGAGCTCTGATAGGGAAACTTGTAGGGGTTGACTTCACGAAAGGACTTGTCCGTGAGTTGCCACTTGTCGGGGTCAGTTGTAGAGCGTTTCGCAACCTTGGGCAAAACATCTCGGATGCTGGCTAGAGAGGTGCGGCACGTGGCAGCGAGCGAGGCCTCTGTGGCCGGCTCGCGCGCGAGGAGGTGGATGACGGGGACACGGAGGGCGTTGACAACGACATCGTGGCTGTTTGTGGGTTGCGAAGTGGGTGGGCGCTTGTGCATGGGCGACGATGGTGCGCTCAGCAGGGGTGAGGGCGCAAGGTGCGAGGATTTGAAGCCCGTCGAAGGGAAGCGACGATGGACTGGGGTGCGTCCTGGTGTGGCATCGGCGACAATTGTTCTGCAGCAAGTATTGTTAGTTCTGGTGTGCACAAATGGTTGCCATAACATTATGGTTGCATCATGCGACAAGGGTGCTCGAGTCTCTCGACAATAGGCAAAGGGGCAAGAGCAGGCGCAGGGCCACTGGGGAGGCATACTTGTTGGCTTCCTTAAACTCAGAGATGGCAGCCATGTTGCTCCTCAGCTGCTCCAGCGCTGAGTCTACGCCTGCCGTGACATCTTCCGCCTTGTGGACCGTGAGACTGTGGTGGATCAAACTGGCGAATTCGAGTTGACCGTCGTCGCTGCTATCGTCGCTGGACTTGTATAGTTCGTATCGATGTAGTTCGGCGCTGCTCTGCAGCATGTGCGTCTTGTCGCCATATTTGAGTTGCTGTTGTTGTGGTTAGCTTAGGTCATGCTGCATTGCCCCGTTCCCCCGAGTCGAACGCCCCATGACGACGGCGACGACAACGACGAAGCCATGGCAGCTAGCGTGCAGGCACCATGGGGCTTTGGAGGGTATGGGTGCACACGTACTGGAGTGCGTCCAAAGACTATCTGTGGTTGCTTTCCGCCCCTGGCGTTTTCGAGGAGCTCGTCGATGATGTCCTGGGTAATGTCCACCTGCATGGCCTGGACGGGGGTGCATCTGGCGTCCTTGAATGCGATGTCGCCATCCGGGGCTCCGACGAGGGCAATGCCGCCCGTGGGCAGTAGCTGTGCAGCCATCTTGGGGTGGGTGGCAGCCAGGCGTGGAAATGAGGTGGAACGAGGTGTGAAGCTCGCACCCGGGTGTTGCTAGGAAGTGCAATGCATGGAGAGAGCACCCAGGCACCGAGCGGAGAGCAAGCAGGTGGCCGGGTATCGGGCAGAGGCCTGGTGACGAAGGCGTCTGGTGTTTGAGTGAGGCGGTGGTTTGCTCAGAGAGGACGAAGGAGCGAACAAAGGGCTCGCTGCTCGGAGGACCGTGAGGACCGTCAGACAGGTCAGACAGCTTAGGCCGTCATAGCGCGGCGGATTCCAGCGAACGAGCGTGCACGGGGGTCAAGGTACGATGATGAAACGATTGGTCGTCACGCACACAGGACCAAGGGCTAGGAACAACCAGACAAGAACAACGACAAAGTTCCAGAGTCGTCCGACACGGGCGATGTGAAGAAAGGTAAGCTGGGCGGGAAGCAGCGTGAGGTGTGATGGTGGTGTGCCGGCGAGAGGGCCGGCAGCCAGGACGCCAGCCAACCAGCCAGCCAGCGGACGCCGCATGCCTCGACGGCGGTGGTCCCGAACAAGGGCGCATAGAACGATTACGCCTGTCCAGGGTACCGAATCCAGCCCCGGCCCGCTTTGTACTCACACAAGTACCTATGTTTTTTTTTTTGCAGCACCAGCACGCAGCACCAGCAGCAACAGCACGGCAAGGCGCAGGGCAGGGCAAGACAAGACAGGCGCGCCTGGTGTTTATTTTGCCCTCTCTTCGCAGCCGGGCTGGCGGGCACGGGGGAAGAGAGGTAGGCAGGTGGAGTATTAGTAGTGTGTAGGCCGGCGGCGTCGAGGGCGGAGACGGGCTCCAGTCGACTCGATCCACTTGTCCGGCGCCATGGTCCAACGCTTGCTGACCAAAGCTGCACAGTGTGCTGAGTCTGGCAAAGTCTGGGCAGGTCCGCCGTCACTCGTGGCAGTATTGCGGGCAACAAATGGCTCTGCGTTTAAAAAACGACGGCGGAATTTGGGAGCCGGGCCCTGTCGCGCGAGGCAGGGCAGGGTCGCTTGCGGGCGTACCTGTTTCGCATCCATGGCTGGGCCCATGTTTGAGACCACGGCGTAGCGATGCCTCAGACGGGCGCGCAGCCAGGCTTGGGGGAGACACGACACTGAGATTGGAGGCCTCGCTGCCAACGAGGCTTGCGTCGCCTGACAAGCAGGAAAAAAACAAAAGGGCAGCGGTGCGGCTTGGGAAGAGGGCGGATGGGAGGGAGCATCGCGTCACCCGCGCTGTCATCCGGCATGGCGGGTAGGCATCGGTGGTGATGGGTTGATGGTGGGTGGTCAGGATTAGCCCGGCCTATTTTGGTGCTGCCGGGAGCCCCGCACCCTCTGCGGAACAGCCCACAGCCCACAGCCCACACACCACACACCACACAGCAATGGCAGACAGAGCCCACCCAGCCATGCCACCGCGACCGGTACTCATGCCGGCACCGCGAGCCCCATGGCCGCCAGCCCATCCATTCCCCGACGACTACGACAACTACGACGACTCCGACAACCTCACATGCCACGCCGCCCTCTGGCGCGGGGCGGGCCTTGTGTTTGCTGACACTCGCCGTGTTTCCTCGACCAAACCCGGGCGGCGGCACGAGTCAAGCCATGGGTGAGTGTGTGTGCATGTACGAGTAGGTGTACGACCCCCCACCTGCTAGCATTCAGCCACACCTTTGCACCCTACCCTACCCTACCCTACCCTACCCTACCCTACCCTACCCTACACTGTACACTCTCACTACGCCCAACGTGCGCCCGCACGCAGAGAAGATTCCATGATTCGCACACGGCGTGATGGCTGCAGCGTCATGCGCAATGGGCATGCACTACTGCCACCACCCCGGCCCATGGCCCTCCGAATTAATCCACCTCGGCCACCGGCAACAATAACCGACCGCTAAGGGAACCACCATGTACCTCGACTTGTCACGCCCGCCTCTGTACTCCAACCTGTACTCCAAAGACGGCCGGCTGCCCCTCCATCGCTGCTGACCTGACCACGCCAGACCAGACCACTGCACTGCCGTCTGCAAACACGGCCCTCGACTGCCCATAGCACAATCGCCCTCCGATCCCCCAGCCACTTTTGTTGCTCGCTCCGCTGGACAAGCTGCCTTTAATCTGCCTGCCTTTTGCCTTGTGAGAGCCTCGTCCGACACAAGTGCATACCTACTTTGGTCTATGTACCTGCAATATCCAGATGCCCCTGGTCGCTTCTTTTGGCCATATTGCCCTTGCAAACCAGCCGCATGGCACATAGATGAAGTGCGACAGCCTTTTGTCACAAGACCGCCCAACCGCCAGCCAAGCTGACGACTCCAATGTCAATGCGGATGCTTTTTTTCCTCTTCTCTTCATCAGCTTGCCCCTCGTGTGCGTAACGTCTACTTTTTTTTCATTTTGAGATCGGAACAAATCTCTGTGCAAAAGCCAGCCTTGATCTTGGCATGCCACATGGCAATGTCAGCAGCATCCACCGCTACGTACCTTGTCAGATGGCCAATACAAGAAGATATCACCATTTGTGCTTTTTCTCTCTCCCTCACCTCGTATTGCACTAGCCGATGTCCCGAAATGTATTAAAAGCCCGCAGTGGTGCTTGCATCGGAGCCATTCTTGGACGAATGGGACCAACAGGCACTTTGGACCAGAAAGCACTTTGCACTCTCCCCGCACTGCGCCATCCACACCCACTCCCACGCTTATCTCATCTAATTAGGATGGTCAGTTGAATCGAGCCCGGTCCCCAGATTGCCAGACCGCACATACTATGCTCATCACCTGCCTCGTCCGCCAAAGTTGCAGCGTGCACAGTTACATGTGTCTACGTCAAGACTCTGGTCAGGAAATGTTACTTTTTTCCCCCCTCTGGCAGCTGACTGGCAGCAAGCCTGCGTCATGTGCTCTGGGCTACGCGCGCTGCCCTCGCCAAGGGCCAGACCGTTTGGGAGATTGAGACCCGGGGGGGGCCATGTATCATATCGCCTTACATTCCCATTCGTAATGTCGGTCGTGGTGGTTGTTACGGTCCAAGTCCATCGGACCTTGAACCCGCATGCATGAACGGCCGCCGTTTGCGAAATGAAAGCCGTCACACAATTGTCTCCTTCCGTATCAATCTCACGTTTCAATGCAGTCGCTGTCCTTTGGGCCAGACGTTATGGTACCATGCCCCAAGTTTAGTAGCTCTTGGACAGCTCAGCACCAACTGCTATGCCAAAGCTGAATCACACTCAGCAGGCGCCGTTCTTCTCTGCACGAGCGGCGCCACGTCAAACACGCCCCGATTACCCATTCAGCCCTCTTTGATCAAAACTCGACGACCCAAACTTCGTCGCCCTGCGCACACCGCCCCCAATTTCCCTATTCGCTCTAGCCCCCTAAAACGGCAGACTTAAAAAAAAGAAGAGGAGGAAGGAGAAGAACATGGTACGGGTATACGCTGTTCAGGCCCCAAGCAACTAAAACGGCAAAAACAGCAGCAAGAGCGAAACCATGTATATATAACTATTATCAAGCTATCTCTGCCCTGATCGATGACAAAGGGCAGATCCCTTCCCACTCTGAAGTTGGAGCCCTGCCGTTGATGCGATGCGCCCTGACAGCAAAAAGAATTAAAAAGGCGCGGCGCGTGCTGCGGCCAGCCGTCCACCCACCCACTTACCACCACGCAAACGCACTCACACGACACACACGACTTCCCAGGTTGGGGGGCTTGCGCGCCCGCGCCCGCCCTTGCCCACTTTGCCCACTCCTCTTGCCTTGTCCTTTTGCGCCCACCCACACCCCCGGCCACTGATCCCGCCCACGTCGGCGGCGGCAGTGTCGGGCGTGCGTGGGGCGCCCTCCCCCCCCGACGAATAACGCCGTCGATTTGCTCATGCTCACACTGTGCCGAAAGCCCACGCCTCGATGGCCTTTCTGCTCTCACTTGCTCGCATCGCTTCGCTCCCTCGTTCGCGGGCGCGCATGAGCCACCGACAAGCTTTTGTTCATGTGACCTTTTCGTGCACTGTACGCACATAAACAGCATGCCCCGTTTACTGTGTGCTCTACCGAATCTTTTCTTTGCTGCAGGATGACCATGTGTCCATATGCTTTCCCCCGAACGCTCTTTTTTCTTTTACTCCGGGAAACATTGCCTTTGCAGTTCATTCCACTTCCCCGAGTGAGGGGGCTTGCCTGCATCCCCCCCCATGTTTTTCGAGTGGATCAAGGCTATGTGCTTTAGCTTTGTTGACCGGGGGTGCGTCATCCTGCTGCAACACTATCATACATAGCTATACGGTACATACTTGTATATAATATCTATGTAGTTATGTGATATTGCCTCAAAAAATACACTATACAAAGGCCCGTTTAGCGACAAAATAAAAAACAAAAAGGGAAAACAAACATGCCATCGGTTTCAAACTTTGATTTCCAATCTAGGGAAAACTGGTATGTAGCCATGTCTTCCGTATTTTGGCGAAATACGGGCTTTTGCACTCACATACACACGTAATAGGTGCTGCACACTTTCATGGAACTACTTGACGCGTAGTAAGTAGTTGAGTTTTCTCGTCAATCCCTGATCTTACATGCCTCCTTAGCACAAGACAAAGGGGAGACGGGCCAAGACTAAGGAAAGCCTTATTGCTGACTGCCGGCGGACAAAAGTTCTCTATGGCCCCAGAAAAAGTCAGAGAAGAAAGAACAAGAAAGCAATTGCATTGCCAAATTGCCTAGTATATAGACCGCAAAGTCCCCGATTTCTACTCATAAAAAAACCCCCCAGCCTTGCTGCATGAAACTCTGTTTGCTAACCCAACCCAATCCCCCACTCTCAACTCACGCCACCAACGCCTTATTATTATCTCTTCTTTTGCTCAAGAAAAAAAATACCCACCAAACCCGAACTTCCCCCATCCACCATCCACCCCCCCCCCGTTCAATCGGCAGTATAAAGTGCGCGCCAAACACGGAGTATGAGAAGGGTTAAAAAGAAAACCGGACCGAATGGTCCACCCCATTTCTCACATGTTGCCGGGACCACAAACAAAGCTTGCCATCCCCCCCCCCCTCCATCTGCCGGCTCAACAAAACCAGAGAGGGAAAATACAACCGGAGGCCGAGAGAAAGCCGCTATCCGCAAAACCCCGACTTGGTATAACAAAAAAAACATGGGGAGGGAGGGGTATTGGAACGGAAAGATGAAAAAGGAATAGCCCGCGATTCCATGTAACATATACAAATCCATCACGCGTCTAGTTCCTCGGGTGCTTTGTGGCGAGCCAATACAAGACGCTTGTACTCTGCAGGGTCCTTGTCCCAGAGTTCAGCGGCCTGGCCGTTTAAAGGGCTTGAGCTATAAGCACACTTTGTTAGTTTTCCGTATATGTAACATCTTTTTTTTTGAATACAACATGTATATTCCCACTCACTTGTTCGGTTCGCCCAGCAAACTCTGCAGACTCAATAGCACGGTTGTGATGTTGTAGATTGCGCTCCATTTGTCCTTGAGGATGTCGAGGCAGATGCGGCCTGAGAAGTCGACGTTGGGGTGGTAGATGGGGGTTTTGTAGAGCACGGTTGGTGGGCTGTAGGGATAGTTGTTTGCGAATTCCATTGACAGTTTGAAGACAAGGTTGGCGTAGGGTGTGTCTGCGGGGCCATCGATGGTGGCGGTCCACTTTGTCATATTTTCGTCGTCGGGGAAGGCTGTGATGCCGGGTGTGGGCTTGGTCATGATGTCCATGAGCTCCTTTTGGAGGCTGGGAAATGTGAGTTTAGTTTCCGTGTGTGCAGTGACGGCGAAGGTGAAGGAGGGGGAGAGAGAGACGTACCGTTGAGCAACAGTGGCGTTTGGTCCGTTTCCTCGTCCATTCGATGAGAGAGCCATTATGTTTGTCGTTCAAAGTCGTACACGCCGTTAGGAGGGTTTCTACACAAAGCTGCTACCAAGTACCGCAGAAAAGTCCGGTATCCACTGCAAAGACTACCCTGAGATCCAGCTACTAGCCGCAAAAAAAGGGTGTAGGAAAATGTAGCAAGGTCTCGTAAAGGAATAAAGAAGAAAGGTTGCACTTCTTTGTACCGATGTTTGTTAAATAAAGGGGAGGTGAAGAAGTGTAAAAACGTAGTTGTCAAATGTTCGAGTTGGCAAAGCACCCCCACTACTAAATGGACTAATAGGGCGTGTGTGTTGTTGTGTTTATGCGTTTGTGGATGTGTCCCTGCGTCTTGCCGGGGAAACCACGCGCGCCTGTGTGGCCCAGCAACAGGGATCCCATGCGACGCGCGCGCGACGACCCGCTTACCAGATGGCGCAAATCGAATCGCGCACGGGTGATCGATGCGCTCTCCTTGGAATCGCGGTACGAGTGAGGGTCGGATGTGGTACGATCTGGTGGGATTGTTCTGCGATCGGATGATGGGAGGGAGGGATGGGCGGGTGTGGCTAGTATGGGGACATGGGAGAAATTCCCGACATGGCAATTATGTGCATGTCATATTGGGAAAAATCATGAGTGCTGCTACTATATACAACTGTCTTCGTCACGTACAATATACACGACAGTAGTCACCGTCTACTGTTCCATAATCAGTATATCACAACCGTACCATGCAAACCCGCGGGAATATGTTCTGGAGACAAGTACTCATGTACCAATCACTAGTATATCCTCGTTACTTGTTAATATATCTGTAGGACTACCGACGTCAGCGAATCAAATCAAGCCTGCAACAAGTGATGCCTGAACTTCATCAAGATTTGCTCCAAAAACTCTCCCACTCTGTCATCTCCTTGCTTGCAATATCATTCCCTCATCACCTCAATCCTCATCCAACCCCTTAATCCTCTTCTCTTCAACAAGCCTCCTCTCCAAACTACATCTCAGCACCCTCTTCTCCTGCCCTACCCCCACCTCCTTCAAACAATCATCTTCCCGATCCCAATACACGGCCCATCCATACCCTCCCTTCTCCTCTTCCACAGCAACAAGACACTCCTCATCATCCAGGGTCAGCCCCTGTTCATCTTCCGTCCAATCCCACGGCCCGATTTTATGCTTCTTCGCTTCAGATCGCGGTCCATAGCGCAACTCGCGTGTCTTTTTGTGCGCATAAACCCAGTTTAGTTTTGGTTTCGCAGGTCTTGGAGCGGTTTTAGGTGCGGGAGACGGAGTAGACGGGGCTGATGATTCTGGTGATGAAGGGAATGGATGCGAAGATGGTGGCACGGTGCTGACGAGACCGAGGACTGGGGCTGCGGGCATGGGGCGGTGCGGGAGTTCAGAGGAGGGAAAGGGTAGGTAGAATCCTGTGAATGGGTGGGGTGCTGGTTCATTGCTTGGGCCGGGTTTTGGGAGACCTGTTTTTGGGTCCTTGGGCCAGAGGAGTACCTGTATGTTCCTTAGCACTCTGCCTTCTCCTTCTTCTTCCCTCATGTGATAATGTGTCGCGCTGGTATATGAAGCGGATGTCATGCTGTACCTTTCCGTCTTTCAAGACAACAATCGCACCGTGCACCTCATCTTTCTTTCTGCTCTTCGCATCGCAAAAGACGTCGAGATAAAACTCTTCCTGGCGCTCTTCGGCCTCTGCTTCTTCGTCTAGAAGCCGTTGTTGATGCACGGCTTCGTTTGCGCCTATGGCGATTGGTATGCCAGCTAGTGTCAATGCGTACATTGCTTCAGATTGGCGGGTAGGGAGTCGTTGAAACGGCTGCAAGGGACACTGGACGCGCCCGCATTGGAATCATGCTTTGGTGGTGTAAACAAGATGTCGGGGCTCTCTTCCGCACGATGGTGTCATAGGCGGAGCGCAGCTGCGGGACGGTTCGGTTAAAGCTTGGAAGATTCCTGGGGTGCCCACTTCTTCCTTGTAACCTTGAATGTCCTTGGAATGTTGTGTCTACACATTTTACTTATGTTGTTACTGTTCTACTGAACATACGCTTTGCCTTATTTTGTGTTTTTGGGATATGGCATGGTGTCGCAACTAGCGCTCTCAATTCATTACGATATCTCATATTCAAATTGGGTGCACACCAGTGACTCAACATTCTAATATCGTGATGGAAATTTATCGCGTGATCTATTTTATTATTGGTTTTATTGCCGCTTAGCAGATCAATGATGTACATGTCATGGTCATGTAGACATTTTTCATATCCGAAAGTAGACATGCCATCCAGCGACCAGTTTTAATATCATTTAGGTGTATCTCAGATGCTCAGCTTCAGAGAGGAGAAATGGCGACTTTGCCTACATGAGATGAGTATCAAACTCGCCAACAACTAGTGGAGTGTCGTTGAGATGGGCACTAGTATTGCAGGAACCACCCGAATACGTAAAGAGCGGGCATGTAACCTTCCAATAACAAGCACTGACCCTTCTAAATCACTTTTCTTGGAGAAGGCACACGAGAGCCGACCGAAATGGATAGTGTATATTATGCTCATCTACTTTCCACTGACATCCATCATTGCATTCGTCGTCTTCATCATTAAGCACCCCCTTCAATCATCCCATCGCTAACAATACTCTCGTAACACAACACTCACATTCGCCATGTCTTTTGAAAAAGAACACTCACCGGAAACCGACAACTTGTTAGAACAATTGACTGCGCAGCAACGAAGCCTCTTAATATCATTCGTGGATATTACCAGGATTCAAGACATTCACATAGCACACATGTTGCTAGAAGCCAGCGAGTAGATTCCGCTCAATGCAGTCAATATTTACGAGCAAATGATCGATAACGCACTTGGTGACACAAGTGAAACTGGCCAGACCGACGAACAGTCTGAAAATAAGTAAAAGAGATACCTAGTATCATCCTGTTATGATTTCCATACTGACGGCTAGTCTAGAAAGCGAGAAGCAAGCTCTTCGCCCACCGGACAACCAAGTACACACAGACGTGAACCCCCAACCGCGACCCTTCCAGGCCCTTCCTCCGTCAGCGCCACGAAACCAAAGTCCCGCCATGGCTCCCCAGAAAATGCTTCTCCAGACCCACCACGAACCTTCCTCCGCTTAAGCCAACCCCAAGAAATGAAGCACCTCACCGCCCGAGCCGCAATGCTCCAACCCTTCTGCTCTGACTACCTCCCCGAACCCAGCCCCAACGCCCCCCTCTTCCTCCCCGCCGACGCAAAACGCCACTGGTTCCTAGGCTACATCTACCGCTGGCACGCCTTCAAATCCGAAGCAATCGAGCTTCTCAAGCACGAAAAATGCATCCAAGCCTTCCGCCAACTCCGGGGTTTCCAAGTCGACTTGCCACATACTACGTCACCCTCCCCGTCCCCATCCCCCGCTCCCGCAAGTCTAGAATCGCACTTCATCCGCGAAGTCCTGGAGCCCGTGGAGAAGATCTACAACACGCTACTTACCACGCAGGCTATGCGGGATATCTATGGCGACGACATGCCTCAGGGCATCTGGCTCGAGAGCGGCGCACAGAATGAGGAACTGTCTGCGAAAGGAATTAAGCCCGCTTTTATTGTACGTTCAAAGGCTGCGAATGGGAAGGATGAAGTAAGGTTACTGGGCCATGCGGAGTATCTAGGTGGAAGACCGGGTGCGTTGACAGCGGCGATCAGGAATGCGGGGAGGAATACGTGGGGGAGTCTGCGGTGCGTGTTAGGTAAGACATATCTCCCCCCCCCTTCTTCCATACCCTTGACGATGAGATGAGAGACTGAGAGATCTGTGTGTGTGGTTAGGCGACATAGCGCGCTGGATGCTCGAGTGCAACACGGAATACGGGTTCCTAGTCAGCAGCGACGAGATTATCTTTCTTCGCTTTGCGATTGTGTACAAGGGCAAGAAGATGAATGTAGCGGAACCCGGAGAACCGGAGCGGCTGGCGTTCGTGTATACGATGGTGGAGCCGTCTATTAATTACTCGGATCCCGTCAAGCACAGTGAGATGCTGGATGATACGAACAGCACTGTTACGGTTAGGATGGCGTTGTTGTATCTGCTGCATACGACTGTGATGAAGAGGTTCCAGATGCCGGAGCAAAAGGGAAACGCTGCACAGTATTTTCCGACGACGGAAGCGGGTAAGAAGTTTAGGTTATAGGCGGCAGTCGGGGGGGGGGGGGGGGACTTTGGATACGAGTTCGCAATAGAGTAAAGGATGGGAGTATTTTCGTCAATGGTGGCTGTACGCTGTAACACTATTGGTATAAGGCGGTGAGCAAGTATTGATAGAAATTTGAGCAATAGATGTGTATTTCTAAACAGCTTCGACAAAAGATGTAACATGAAAATGTCTGTTTAGAGATCTCGAGATATCAGGTCTCTGTCCGACTCACCTCATACTACATCACAATGACAGAAGTGCAGATGGATAAGAGAAGTAGTTGTCTAGAACACTAGCATGACGAGATACAAAGACAAGCTTCTGGCCATATGGGCGACCATATTAGCCCAACCACCTCCCTGGCAACGCCTAGCAATTGTGGCTTACCAGCCATGCACCCACTACCTTGGCTACCCCATGTCTCGAGCTCCATGCCTCGGAACGTAAACAGCATTTGACAATCCCATTGGACAATCTGCACCCTGTACCCTTTGATTTCGTTTCCAAGACACTCATCTCTTGGATGATTGTTGGTCGCCGTAGATTCAACACTGCAAGCCGGTGGGTATTGTGGCTGTAGGGCATTGAGGGAAAGTTCCTCGGCCCATTAGCCCATTGTGATTGGCAAAGAGTCTTTTATTTCAGCTTAGATATACGAATATGGAGGGGTGAAGGGTGTTGGTCGGAATTTGTAGGCATCATCTGAGAGGGCTCCTAAGACGGCTTGGTGTTGAGAGACTGCAAATGCCTCGGCTAGTGCACCAGCTTCTGAGGTGTGATTGGACGAACAAGGAGACTGACTTGTTTATCTAAATCTGTAGTCGTGGGAGAATCCGGGGTAGAGGCGCATTGGGGGCTCCCAACCACCAGGATACGAGACGAGGATCGCCACTTGTAAAGGGCTGGTTCGTAGGGCATTTACACTTGGGTTTTTTGTGACTAGGGTGGCGCTTTTTCCAGGGCACAGTTAAGATGGCCGCTTGGCAAATGCAGTTGGGGCCCTAGTCTCGCGTCAAAGATCAAGAATGGGTCGAGACTGTAGGCTAGACTTGACGACTCAGCTCGATGTGTAGAGATTATCAGTTGTGATGGCTGATGGAGGCCTCACAATTGTTCCAGTCCGTGGACGTGATGGGATACGAGCGCTCTGCAAAAGCCAGTAAGATGCATGGGGTGGGGTGATAACGCCACAGATCTAAACGCAAACAAGTATTGCTGAGGGCACCCTGCGTAGTGACGGAAATCAAAGGAGTTCCTTAGCCGGAGTTTTTGCATGCGTGACTAGATCGTGGAGACTGCTGATCAATCGACAGGGACATCGGTAGGCGAATCAGGCCAGAATACGGATGTGGGAGAGGACAGTGCAGCTGTCAAAGGGCGGTATGGCGCCGAGTTGACTAACTAACAGCAACCGGCACCCTGCAGGTCATTAGTATCACCCCGAGTGTCCCGAATGCCCGAGTATCCAAAAGGCGCGCCAGTTGATGCTGTGTCAAAGAGACAAACTCGACGTTTCCTGCATGTTTGTCATGGTCCACAGGGTTGCACAAACAGGACGCGTACATCTATTAAACGAAGAGGCAACGATGGGAGCACTTCAAAGGCTCCAGATGACGACACATCGATGTCTATGCCAAGGGACCGGCGGCTTGGGGCGCGGCCCATGGCAGCAATGCGCCCTTGTTCGCATGCGGCTCGTGGCCACACATGGGACAACGCCTTCCGGAGCAGTATCCAAGTCGGGACAAGATGTTGAGCGTGAAAATGGGCCCAGTGGAGCAGCAGCAAGCGAGACTACCCCGCGTGTGTAGTCGAAACACATTCCAAGGAGGCCGGGCGACACAGCGTCAAGAGGGTGGACAAAGAACGAGAGCGGTCGGTGGCAGCTCGGTCAATCCTGCGTGCGGCTCGTCGCGTTCCTGTCGGCGGCATGGATACGGTGGATAACAGGACAGGCGTCGATGAGCATAAGACAACGTCGGCTTTGCTTGGAATGTCTTGTTGTCGACGGCGGACGAGACGGGGGACAGCAGCATGCGGGGTCCCCACATGCCAAGCGTCTCCCCAGCTTTTCCGCCTTCCGTAAAGCCAGTGTTTTGTGCCTACCCGCGGCGTTCTTTCTTCTTTTGCGGGCGGCGTAGAGCCCATGCTGCCCTGTGCCTCGGTACTTTTCTCGACACAGAAAGAACGCTCCCCATTGCGCTTGCTTGTCTTGGCAGGCTGCCATGGCGGGGGAGCAGGCAGGCAAATGCCAGGAGCTGGGGCCGGGATAGTCATGTCCATATGTACACACATAGACAAAATGTCTACATGCGTACATATATCATGCACCCCCGTCCCTATTTTTCAGCCTGCCCACCTCTCTCCTCCACTCACCGCCCTGGCAATCCACAATGGCCTCCCCCAACCAGGTCTCACATAACGACGATATCCTCGAGAAGCGGCAGGTGTCCCTTGTGGAAAATGTCGACGGCTCCCAGGATGGCGTCCCCTACGAGTGCGAGTTTACCGAGCGCGAACAGAGAAAGATCATCCACCGCATCGATCGCCGCCTTGTCGTGACTGTCGGTGTCCTGTATTGCATCAGTTTGATGGATCGCACCAATCTGAGTGCTGCTGCCATTGCTGGGTCCGTACCGGCTATACTTGCTGCTGTTGCTTGAACACCCAGCTAACCCCCTCCCAGTATGACTGCGGAATTGAAACTCTATGTCCTCGAGGGCACAATCTCCCACTACTCCATTGTCACCATCGTCTTCTTCGCCTCGTACATTGTCTTCCAGCCCCCAGCCACCGTCATCTGCCGCTACCTCGGACCACGCAACTTCCTCTCCTTTATCGTAATAGCATGGGGTGGTGTCATGATTGGCATGGGCTTTGCAAACAACTATGGCACCATGGCTGGCCTGCGAGTTTTGCTGGGAGTGCTAGAGGCTGGCTTCTTCCCTAGTTGTGTCTATCTGCTGTCGACATGGTGTACGCATGCTCCTTTCCACAGATCCTTAGGCCAATATTGACAACCCCTACAGACACTCGCTTCGATATCGGAAAGCGGTACTCGGTCTTCTACATTCTCGGCAGTTTAGCTTCCGCTTGTGCTGGTATCCTCGCCTATGGTCTGATGCAGCTCAAGGGACGTCAGGGCTTGAACGGCTGGCGCTGTGAGTTCCTTCTTCATAACCGCACCCCCAAAAGAGACTGACGTCTAATTCTTCCTGCAGGGATCTTCATCATCGAAGGCGCGCTTACATGCTTCCTTGGTATCGTCGGTTACTGGGCCCTCGTCGACTTCCCAGACAAGGCACACAGGAGTTGGAAATTTTTGACCGAGCGAGAAGCCAAGTTCATCATCGACCGTGTCAACAGAGATCGTGGTGATGCCAAGCCCGAGCCATTCTCTCTTGGGAGGTTCCTCAAGGGTGGAACCGACATCAAGATTTGGGGTTTCGCCTTGGTATGTTTTCAAGCAACACAGTAGAAATTCATGCCCTCGCATACTAACTTGCCCAGATCTTCTTCAACACCACCACTGTCACCTATGCTCTTGCCTACTTTCTTCCCATCATTCTGACACAAAACATGGGCTTCTCAGTCGGTGCAGCTCAGTGCTTGGTTGCTCCCCCGTACGCCTTGGCCGCTATTGTCATGTACGCCACTGGCTGGCTCGGCGACAAGTACCGCATCCGTGGGCCCATCATCATCGCCAACATGGTACTCTGCCTTATTGGACTTCCCATCATGGGCTTCCACAAGAACGCCAACATCAGATACTTTGGCGTCTTCCTCACCACTGCCGGAGCCAACAGCAACATCCCAGCAACCATGTCGTACCAGGCAAACAACATCAGAGGCCAGTGGAAGCGTGCTTTCTGCTCTGCCATTCTTGTCGGTATGGGCGGAGTAGGCGGTATTGCAGGAGGTCTTGTTTTCAGGACGCAAGATGCGCCCCACTATAAGCCAGGTCTTTACGCTTGCATTGCTTGCTGCCTGCTGTCAATTGTCCTTGTCGGCCTCATCACACTGAGGTCATGGAGCTTGAACAAGCGTGCCGATCGTGGAGAGATTGAGCTTGAGTACAACGATGTAAGTCTAGCCTCTTATTTGCTATATCTGTCCGAACGAGTATTAACAAATCTCAATAGGATGGCGACCAGAAGGGCTTCAGGTATACCTACTAAATCTTGTATTTCGCCTTTATTCACGGGCAGTGTATCCAGCGACACCATTTTGAATGATATCTAGTTGCTCCTTAGTATTTACGATTCAAATAACGAACATATAACTCACTTGATTCTCATTATCCCTACAATCAACTGTTTTTTGATTGAGAAGCAGCAATCTTATCCGATGCTTCCGCAAGTTCTTATGCCTCCCTTGGCATTTATACTTATATAGACCCCAACCCACCCACGTCCCGTGATCTCGGCAATATCCCCATCTTCCTCGGTCCAAAACATAAGCAGGGGCTGATTCTCAGATCACTAATCCGTCTTCCCATTCGCCTAGTGTCATTACCTTATGCCGAAACGAGAGCATGTGAAAAAAGAGAAAACGACAATCACATGATGCAATGACGAATATCCCAAAAAAACATGTTCCAAAAAGTATCTAAACTGTATCTCTCATTCTAGTCTTGGAAAAGGGTGAGGGGCGGGTGAGATATCTTAAAACTGACTGCAAGGAAAAACGAAGTTATTCCAGTAAATGAAATAAGAGAGGAAAAAAAGGCATAATGACATTTACTTCATGCTAGTATTTGAACAAAAAGACAAAAAGCAGGAAAAAAGTAACAAAAACATGCGTAAATAAAAGAAATCAACATATAACGCCCCCTCCTTCCAGCCCTTGCATCCTATAACTCCCATCCGTCGCTATGCACGCAATCTGACCAGATCAAAAAATTCCAAAAAAAACAATCATAATAATAATAATAATAATCAAAGAGTAGGGTATAGCCATAAAGGCAAACAAAGTTGCTTCGTTCGTGGTCCCAAAAAACACATGGGGGCAAATAATAACCCCAACGTCCGAACCGTCTAATAAGATTTGTATTTCTGCAGTCATCATTAGCTATTGGGCATCTTGGATACCAAACACGGGATAATAGCTTACGTCTTCAATCTTGCGTCTCGAGTCGGAATCAAGCGCGTTGCCGACACCCAGCAAGGCATTGCTGAGTGCCTTTGTTGCACCGAGCGCGGGGCGTAGGACAACCGTGGGTGCATGCCTAGCAAGTGCTCTTGCTACTCCCGTTCCGCTGCCTTCTTCCATGACTTCTGCTGGGATGGCAATGACGGCATCGCGTGCAGTGAGCAAGTCGCGCTCGAGATGTCTAGCTGCGCTGCGTAGGCCGGCCCGTACACCAATGGGTTGGTTCGCGTAGTTTGAAACTGCACGTGGCTCTTCAGAATCAGAGTTTGGATCTTCACCATCCCATTCGTGGGATTGGTGGCGACCGGGCGAGGCCGTTTGGGGGTTGAGGAAAACCTCTGCACCTTCGAGCAGATTCTGGGTCCCGATTGCTACCTTTGCGCCCAAACGTGCTACTTCGGAAGTCGTATTCTTGGCGAAAGCGTAGACGCCCTTTTGCAAACTACGAACGATGCGGCCGTCCTTCTTGTACTCCCGCATCGGTATGACAACAAGGTCTTTGAGTCCAGAGCCAACATTTACTAGCGGTCGCACAGCGGCCAACCCAGAAAGAACTCCCGGAAGTTGATTTTCTTTAACATCTGGCGTCCATACATCGTTTAGTGTCTTGTGCAACTTATCAAACGATGTGATACCGTAAACGATTGCGTGCCGCAGGACAATGTCAGAGCCATCAAGTATCAAAAAGTTCATAAACTCGGTAGTGTGGCCAGAACGAAGACCACGGTAGTCCACACGCTTTGGCTTGTAATCGAGCTTCAAATGGACGGCCATGACTTCAAGGCGCTGGATAAATGGCTGATCACTAGCTGGAGGTGCAGCCGGTACGGAATCGTCCTTGAATTCAAAAAAGCGTGTAATGAAATCCAGAGCATCTTGGTCTACGTGTAGTCGAAGCGGAAGTATGGTGACCTGTTAACCTTGTTAGGATACGCCGTCTACCTATCACACTTTGAACCTACCTTTATTACGAGCTCAGATGCTGCCAGGTCCGTGACTGGCTTGACTGTAACGAGTTCAAGATTGATCATAGGGCGAATGAGCTCTCGTGTGCTTGGATCAATTGCGCAAGTAACAAACTTCTTCCAAGTCGACGTAGGCACGTGGTCGAAAACCTCAAGGTCTTGCACGCGCACGTTTATTGAATTGATCGTTTCTCCCGAGTCCGGCGGAAAAACAATAAGGTCGACTGCAACACCTACAAGTGAAAATGCGATCTTCTTGTGCTTGCTTCGTTCCAGCTTGAGCCGACGTCTAGACTTGGTTGTGCCACGTGGTCGAGTAGTAGCCCCTGTAGAGCGTGTCGCCGTCGAGGTGGCATAGCTCCCGGTCTCGCTGGCTAGATCATCAATATCGTGGTTGATACGCCGGGCAAGAGCCCCCTTCTCGTCTTTTACAGGAACACCGATCCATACGGAGTTGAACAAAAAATCTTCCTCGACAAAGTCATCATCCTCATCTTCTTCTCTGACTCTCCGTCGTCGCTCCTCGGCACGGGCTTCGACATCATCTACAGCCTGGCTGATGATACTGCGCGTCCGTGGCCAGTCATAACCATCGTAGAGATTCCAGATGACATTTACGTCGCGAACGCGAACCTTGAGTGGCGCATCTGGAGCTTTGAACTCGTTCGAAAGATGGTACTGGTTCTTGGCAGAATCCCATTTTCGAGCTTTGCCCTTTTGCTCCGCGTCTGCGTCCCTGAAATACTCTTCGCTAAAGTCAAAGTCTTCTTCGCCTTGTGTGATCTCATATTTCTCTTGAAAACTTTCCAGTAATGCCCGTTCGCCACGTTGGCGGGTGGTGGGAGGTGTCGCCAATGCACCCAGGTCGTCCTCACCAAGCAGACTATCTCCCATCTCTTCTTCAGTTGGCAAAGATTGTGAATTGTAGATGCTTCCAACAAATTCAAGATTGGTTGGGAGATCGTCTTCTACAAGGTCGGCATTGCTCATGAAGTCATCGGCTTCTATGTCTTCGTCCTGCGCCA